TTAATACATGTAGATTTCCCTCCCTCTTCTTCATTTTCTCCTTATGCAACTTACATATGTGATTGATTGCTTTACTCATCCACTTCTATTTATTTTTTTAAAGATTTATTTATTTATGCATATTTATGGTACAGGCCAGAGGTGTGGGGGGGTGGGAGGATTCACCAGAGACAGAGTGGGAAACAGAACAGGCAGACTGACTGTAATACACTGCTGAGGGGAGCAGCAGGAAGTCAGGAAATGTCTGCTGCACCATGTGGGTCACCTTGTTGGCCAGGGATCGATCGAACTCATGCCATAGTGGCTGTGTATAGCTTCATAGTTTGCATCTTAACCCCTTGTGCCACCTAGGAGGTCCCACTTCTATTCATTTTTATGACCCAGTGTGAGCCTCCTGGAATACAACAATCCTGCTGAAAAAATGGTGATAAAGCATTTACCCCACATCAGTCTATGTAAATGATCCTATGAAGAATAAATCAAGCCAAACTATATAAATTTTACAGTTTGTTGTTGAAATTATTATCTATTGTGTTAATGTGTATACACTATATACAAATATGTGTTTATATTTGAGTCTGTGAGTATTATTCATTTTATATCCTCACTACAGTGCCTCAATATCTATAAATAACTCTATAAAGAATTTGTCAAAATTAAATTATTTTCAAAGAATAAATTGTTTGGTACAACTACACTGTCACTGGATTTTAATTAAATTTACATAGTGGGTCAGAAGAATTCAATATATTTAATAGATCTAAAAATCTAAATTATTAGAGTTGGGCATGATTTGGAAGTTTCTTTGTTCTTTACACATTTTTGTTATGTATTTGTAGTGCAATGTCATTTATGAGTAGAAATTATCCTTTGAGATGTATATATTATTACCTATTAATAGACATTAAGAGATAAAAGAATAAATCAATGATAATAAATAGAAGGTGGGAAAAAGCATTGAGTAAAATCTGTGTTATCTGTAAAATATTAAGAGATTTAAAATATTAAAATAGAGGAGAGATGTCAGCAAGACTTACAAATAAAACTTCTCTCAATGGTGTTTACGTTGAACTTTTTCTCTTAGAACCAAGAATAAAATTGAGACTAAGTAAACTAATTCGAGAAAAATATCTTTCTTGCTCACAAAATTTTTCGTATTTTTTCCCCTAAAGGCAACTTTATTTGCCCCTTACCATACCCTTGACCTTGTATTTATTCCTTTTGGAGACCGGGGTGTGAAGGTAATCAAGTGATAAATTCAGTAAGGTAACTGCTGGTTGGGAATTTTTTAGCATTCCTAGGATGGTATTTGTATGTTCAGACCTTCTTAGTAGTTAAAGATAAGAAAGGAGCCCTGGTTCCTACATGCTGGGTTATGTCCAATGCCCCAATTTCTCTGCTACTTCTGTCTATGTGAAAAGTGGAAGTGACATTTTGTACATAAAGAGTCTCTGTAGCAGCATACGCATTGAACTGGAGATGACTTTAACTTTGCCAGAATGATGAATTTGCTAAACAAAGCAAGCTTTTGACATCAATGTACTTTTTGATTTCAAAATTGTAATGATATGCTAGTTATCCGAAGTTCTCAATCAATAAAATTGTGAAAATATCTGTTGAATATCTCTTATTTTATTTTATTTATCTCCACTTATTCTTTAACTCTGAAAATAAAGTATCAAAAAAACTCTGTAATAACAACTCTTCCATAGTAATATAAATTGTTTACTAAGAATATGAACATGCCTTTGTCAGATTCAAATAAGCAAAACACTTTTTTATTCCTGCTTCTGCTATTTTTATGATGATGATTATTAATATTCACTTATGGCACTTTTTCTCAGATTAAACATGACATTTAATAGTGAGTGCTATTTCATAAATGATTCCTTGAAACTTTCATGTATTTCTGTAACTCCTCCTAACATTTTAATAGCATTTAATTACTCTCAAATAAAAGGTTTCATGTATGTGTAAAACATTTTTCTTGGCACTTTAAAGTAAAATGATTTTCTTTGCAATTTGAAAGTAAAATGCAGATTTAAATAGAGACAAATATTGGAAGTAAGAGAGGAGTTTATGAAATTCGGATAATTTCCCTTGAAATGATATTTTATATCTCAAAAAGATTTTCTTTTTTTGAAGATTTAAAATGAATAAGAATAGTTATGATGATTTTTAAACTGTTATGACTAACTCTGAATTTACATGTATTCAATCTACTTACAAAATCAGAAGATTACTTCAAGTATTAAACATCATCAAGTATTATTTTCAATCCATACCAAAAAAGTACTTGATACTACATATACTTTAAGAATTACTACTTAAGAATAAAAAATATATAACAGAAAATTTGCTATAGAAATATATAAAACCAACTTGAAAAATATTTAGTATAATCTAATGTAATCCTCTATGATTAAACTTTATAACATCACAACTTTTGAATTAAAAAACATAGTAGCAATTTCAAAAATGCTGTCAAATTTCAAGTGTAAGCACATTGTATGATTTATTATTAATTTTTCTCTTTTGCCAAGCTAAAGAGATCCATGGTGTATTCTCATATATAACAAGTGATAAGCATATTTTCACATTAACACATATATTATTATATGCACATACTGTTATTTGTAATCATTACATACATTTTTTCCTCATTTATGTCATGAAAATAATATTCCTGGCAATCTCTTGTTCTAGATTGAAATGATTTATTTCTAAGCTTGCTGAATAACTGTCATGTTAGGATTTTGTTTCCTCTCACTCCTGGTTTATTATCAAAATTTGAAAAACTCAAATCATTGCAAAGCAAGTTATCTGCAATAAAATGCATTTATGCATGGATTTTGACAAATGTATAACATCTACCACAATTTAGATTTTGAACATTCCCATCACCTCCAAAATCTACATAGAGCCATGTCCTCCATTTTCAATCTCAAAAAATCACTGATCTGATTTCTATCACATTACGTTATTGTTACCTGTCTTTAAAAGTCACATGACTAGAATAATATAGTTATATATTAGTAAAATATTTTATATAATAATTCATAATGCTGAGATGTCTATAATTAATTTTTAATTTAATTCTATGTATATTTCTGGATGTATTTATCCCCCTATTTCTGAACCTTTGGATATTTCCAATTTGGGATTATTAGAAGAATCGCTCCAATGAACAATCTTGTATGATTTTTGTTTGTTAGCATATATTTTTATATATGTTGGATGAATATCTAGAAATAGAATTGTTAGAACATATCACAAGTATATATTTGCTTAATAGGAAACTGTCAAAATGCTTCCCAAATCAGTTGCACAATTTTGCATTTCCACAAGTAATAAATTAGCTAAATTATTTCAGGTCCATCCATATAATGTATCTGCATGTCCATTAGAAAACATTTGTTTGTCAACTTAGAACTAGCTATGATTTGTGGAATTGTCCTAACATGTTGAAGCCAAAAATTTCCTGAAAAATTAAGGAAGCAATAAGTAATAAGTTACTGATGATGATGGAGGGTCACTGAAATTTTCCATTGATAGGTGAAACTGAATTATACCTAATGCAATAGCTTTTTATATGATTTTGCTTCAGATCAAATGACTTAGTATTTAAAAGGAGTCATCCCTGTCCGGTGTGTCTCATAATATATGCTTTTGACTCTAAATACAGTTTTTACTTTTTTAAAGTGCAAGGTTTTCTATTATTGAAAATAAGACTGAAAAAACAAGTACTCTGAGATAAAGAGAGTTAAGACCAATGGATTCTAGATAAATATCTGGAAAAATGAACCTGACAGGAATAGTTCAAGGGTGGTTTTTGATGCATGTTTATATATTACATTGTTGGTAAAGGAAAAAGTTATTTGATATATGGGACCAGGCTCACATTGATTCCTTTGTTGCCTCTGGTCTTATTCCAGTAACACATTAATGGGCATATCAATATCTCTGCTGGGAAGCAGTATCATTTATTTTCCATTTTCTCATATCTTGGCTTTGCTTATTCCTTATTATTTTTTAAAAATCATTATTTTATCATCTTTTTCAGCCTTTTGAATATCCTATAAATATTACAGGAAAGCTTTTAAAAGCCTTTAAGTTTTTGTACTATTCAAATTAAAATGTTGTTTTGAATTTGTAATTAATAGTTATTAGTTTAGATTTGATACGCTGTCAACCCTGAAATTTAAAGTGATATGAATTGTCTATAAAAAAATATTAAAACTTTGTCTCTGTCCTGGCAGTCCAAAACAGCTCTTAAATGGAAACATTATTAGAAGAGTGAGCTGATAATGGACAAACTTGCCCATTCACCTATCTTTCCCGTTTTCATTATGGCACCAATAAAATGATTGTGTTTGAGCTTGGTAGGCTGAATTGATTTTTTTTATTAACTTTCTAGAAGTAATTCAAATTATTAATAACAGTAGTTAAGAGCCCCAAAAGAGACTAACAGCAGAGTGTCCTAAGCTGTCAGACCATCTGGTCACATAAGACTCCAACTATGATGTTGGGTAGCAAGGACACAGGGATAACTCATAGAATCAAGTAAAAATATGGTGTTTGGACTAGTTCTCATTAACACTTCAGTTTGAAGTTAACTCCAGTAATAACTGAAGGCCCAATTTATAAGAGATACCTGTATGATTAATATTAGCTTTCATGGCTTAAATAATAGGTGTTTGTTCAGCCACCAAAAAATTAAAATAGTCACCCGTGCTTGGCGATACTGTCATGGACAGATAGCCACATGATCTCTTCTCATTCACAGAGACTTGTGAAGGAAATAAACACAGTCTGTGTATAAGCTTACCTAGGATCCCAGGGTTCAAATTATAATCTTAACTCTTAGGACATTTATTTAGTAAGAACACCAGCTTTTGCTCCTGTAAGTATCATCACTTTCCTTTATAAGCTTATTAATTACTATCTTTATAAAACACTTGTAGTTGATTCTTTTTGTGTTCTTTTGTTTAATGGAGCAGATAACAAGATGGCAACAATTGGTTCCTAGTTAATATTAGACATTTCATCAAGGAAATATCAACAAGAACAAGAAACTGACAAGTATGGAAAGGTAGGAAATCTAGATAGGTGTTAAAATAGACATTCACAAAAGTGTTTTTAGAGACTGAAAAAGTACAATTCTCTAAATTCTCAGGAGATCGGTGATGGTGTAGTGTGAAGGAAGAAGGAAGAAGCATTCATTCATTTTAAGATTTCATTGTAAGAAGTGATTTCCTAGACATAGATTATCAAAAAACATATTTAAAATATAGAAAGATAAGGTATAATAATATACGTGTGAAACTATCTGTATGTAAAAAATTACTCATTCTATATTATAAATATTTGTTTCAGAATTTTTTGGAAATAGGGCCTCCCTGGTGGCACAGTGGTTGAGTGCTGGGTTGCGAAGGTGCCCGCAGCCTCTGCAGTGCCAGTTCGATCCCCAGCCACCGGGCAAGGGTCCCACATGGCGCGCAGACCTCTCCTGCCACCCGCTGTTCCCTTCAGCAGTGTACTTCATCACTCTCTCTGTTCTACTCTCCGCTCTGGCTCTGGTGAATTCTCTCACCCTCCCGCACCTCTGACTGTACCCATTGCTTGCATAAATAAATAAATAAATCTTTGGGGGGACAAATTAAAAAAAATAATTTTGGAAATAGCAAGCAATGGATAATGAATTCAATTCATTCATAATCTATTATGATGATATTTATTATGTCATGCTATGTCATACATTGGCCTTGTATGAATAATGGTGAACAAATGAGATAAACATCTCCTTGTCCTATAGATCTTACCATTAATTTAGCAAAGATGAAGAATATACACACAAGAAAAAACTATTAAACAATCATTAAAATGTAGTGTGAGAACATAAAGATCTGATAAAAAAATTCAGGTAGCATTTTGCAGCAATTCAAAGATCAGAAATATTTTTTAGTTAAGATAAAGTCTCTTCAATTATGTATATAATATCATTGGAATTCTATTGTACATTTACAGAGCTGTTTAAAGATTGTTATATAAATGAGAGATATAGAATTACATTAGAATTTTAGAAAGTCATTTTTAATCATTTTGACAAAAGAATGGAAGGAGATTAGAACAAAAAGAAACATTATTTGGGAGACAAACACTACACAATAGATTAGTTATATGCTGAATCCAAATTCATTGCAGCAGTAACAAAAAGGAGTAATTGATTGGTGATACTGCTAAGAGGTATCTCAGAATTGATTATATTTTGATATGTTCTTCTTTGTTTAAAATGAAAATAGTCAATAATATCCAGGGTAGAGGTAAATGGACACTGCTGGAGGTTGTATAAATTGTTACATCTCTTTTGGGAAACAATTTGGTAATAAGTATGAAGAGTTCTGAAATTATTCATGCACTCTGACAGTTATTCTACTTCTGGGAATCAATCATACAGAAATAACTGTAAATACAAGAAAAGTGTCTTACACAAATAAGTTCAGTGAAACATTTTCAAAATAGTAAAATAAATGGAAGTTGTTTAAGTGTTCAATTCAATGTATAAATAACTATGTGGGATTTTAAAGCAATTTTATACATTAAATAATATAAATCAAACACAAAATTAAGTGACCTGCAAAATCATGCCTATTATAAAATATGCACAAGAAAAAATAGAGATGATTCATCAAAGTTTATAGGTTTTAATTGAGTGGTAAGAATATTTTATATTTAGTTTTTATAATTTAATTTTAATAGTTGTACGGGGACTTTTGTTCATCAAGGATACATGAAATTGTATTATTATTATTAAGTTGTAAGCCATTGTATGTGGTAGTAAAAAATAAAATTATAAATCAATAAAAATTATAACAAATTTCTTATTTTGAGGAGGAAATACATTGTAATGTAACTTAGGTGAGGACATATTTGAATAGGTACATGCATGCCTTATTTAATACAGGTAAAGAAGTATAAATAAATTATTAGGTGAAAAAGAGTGCCAATGGGAAATTCCAGATGATAGGAACATTAATAAGCGAGTAAAAATAATATAAAAATGTCATAGAGCTAGAACAATTAATTTATGTATTATTCAGTTACCAATCTACCCATTATTTTTCCTTTTAACATATACATTATCCAATAATGTGTAAGACTACAATAAGTGCTACAAAAATTCAACCTCAAGGGCCTCCCTGGTGGCGCAAGGGGTTAAGCACATCACTGTGAAGCTATCCGCAACCTCTGCAGCATGAGTTTGATTCCAAGCTGGCTAGGGAGCTAACCATATGGCACAGCAGACCTCTCCTGCTGCTCCCCTCAGCAGTGCATTCCAGTCAATCTGCCTGTTCTATTCCCCACTCTGTCTCTGGTGAATCCTCTCACACACACCCCACACCTCTGGCCTATACCCCAGTTCTTGTATGCATAAATAAATAAATCTTAAAAAAAATTCAACCTCAGTATTACTTTACACATAAAACAGGCTTTACATAAAAAGGTTTTGCAATTTAAATAATAGATAAAAGCTACTCAGTATCACCAAAGAGAAAAATGAAAGAAATCAAGTGTGAAAGAGACTTCAAAATACAGATATCAACTAGAAGTGTCAATATCTGGTTAGAAATTAATTATTTTAAGTACCAGAATATGCCTAATTGCTTGCAGACATAGTGTCATTGAGGTAGATAGTGTCTTTTAAACAAGATAGACAGAAATGATAGACAAGACTGAAAAAGAGTAAAACGGTGATGAAGAAAAAAGAGGAGATAAACATTATAAACCTAGGTAGAGCCAATGGAGAAAGGTTGAAGATAAAAGAGAAATGACAAAGTCTAATAACAGAGAAAATGAAGTGTTGAGAGGGAACTAATAACCTTAACCTGAAAGGCAGATTAGTTGTCCACTGTCCAATGAAAATAAAAACAGACAAGAAAACACCACAATTTTTAAAAGTATCTCTGGGACAAGAATTGAAGGAGTTCATGACTTTGTCTTTTTGAGACAAGATGAAAGAGAGGAATACTAAAACCAAGGGTGGACAAAGAAAACAGTTTAAAAGTTAAACATTTGACTTGTTGCCTATAAGAAGTAAATATGAAATGTGTCTGGAAATGTTGAGTGAGTGCATGAACTCTCTATATATGGAGATTCAAGTTCTTGCAAATATGATTTTGTCCAGTTATTCTCAGCAGTCAGAATGGAGCAAACATATTACAGGATTAATTTGTGGCAGAAGCCTGCATAGACATAGAAGTCAAATTGTCATATGAAAATCATAAATCAAAGCAAATATATTTTAATTTAGTTGTTTGAAGGACGTCTACACAAAGAAAAATACCTTACTGGAAGCATAAAGATATATTCTAACAATTTTCTACTTGCAGCTGGGTGAAATAACTTGAAGAAAAATGTCCACACCAAGAAACACTATAAAATCAATTGATATACAAATCAAACCCAACAAACCAAATTTTTTCCTGATTGAAGGTTTTGATATAATTCTAAGACAAATGGAACCTCAAAGTCAAAGACATCAGGAGGAAGGATCAGTGAGGTAAGTCTATATTTTATAGCTAGCTTTCCCTTCCAAGAACTTGTTAATGCTTGGCTTATTGTGACAGGATGAGAACCCAAGAAAACGGATAATATTAAGAGCCAGAGCAGGCAATGTTTGGTGCTGAGTGACTAAAAGAAACTTAGAACGTGGCTATAAGGAAAGACAGATGCTTATGAGCTGAACTCCCAGTAAGAAGTAAGGAGCAAAGACATAATTCAGACCAGTCAGGTTTTGTATCTGAGGATATTCAATTTTGAACTTCACAAAGCAGAAAAATAAGAAGCTATTAAAAAGATAAATATCAGTGTGTGTATGCTTCTCAATTTCTAGTTAAAAAAAAAAAATTGTAATTCATGGGGGCCTCCTGGTGATTAAGTTTCAGAATTATCATCAATATGACCTGAGTTCAATCCCTGGCCAGGGAGCTAACCCACATGGTGCAGCAGACCTCTCCTGTCTTGCCCACTGTTCCCCTCAGCAGTGTATTTCAGTAGATCTGCCTGTTCTGCTCCCCACTCTGTCTTTCGTGAATCCTCCACCCCACACACCTCTGGCCTATACCCCAATTCTTGTATGAATAAAAAAAAGTTAAAAAAAAATTAAGGCCCAAATTATAAGGGTTACCTGTATGTAGATTGATACATTTGACTATATTAGCAGTGCTATTAAAAGACTACAGTGGGGGGCGGGGGGAGGAGAAGAGGGATTAGGGCCAGAAAAAGGGGGTGGGAATTTTATGGGGAATATAACCAAAATGAAAATGCATACATTGTGCAAAAATGAAAAATGATGTAAGAATTATATAAAATAAAATAATTCATAAAAAAAAGAAGATACTATTAGAAACAAAATTTCTACCTCTGAGTCAGAGATAATATTAGGTGTGGGTGGCATACATAAAAGAGGACTTGTGTCCTTAATTAAAAAAAAAAAAAGACTTTTACAAAACAGAGGCGAAAGAATGGATAATAATAAACATGGGTAAAATTGGAGTTAATACTTCAAGTAAGGATATCGAAATCACTAACACATGAAAGATTCAGAATTCATTAAAATTGAATCATGAAATTCATTCAATAGGAATAGAAACCGATATAATTATTTGGAAGTCCTTTTGGCAATATCTAATAAAACAAAAGGTTTATATTCTATTATTTGGAAATTTTATTTTTCCATAAATATCAAGCGGATTCATATATATGTATGTGCATGTGTGTACATGACATAGATAAACATGCACCAGAATGTTTATTATAGCACTCTTTGTAATAAGCTAATCCAAGAAACAATCCAGGTATATTAACATAGTGGAGAAATAAGTTATTATATATTAATTCCACAGAAAGCTATAAAGTGATGGGATCAGCAATCTGTTGCTAGATATGATGGTATGTTCAGAATGAGAAATTCACTTAATGATTTATGTACCCTTATGTATGTTATAATTGCTTCAGTAGAAATTTCACCTAAAATAATTCTCAAACATGTGGGTTAGACTCGTAAGCAATTTTGTATTGAGTACATTTTCAAACCCTAGGCTTTTTTCATAGAAAACTTGAAAAAAATATGAAATTTAAGCAATAGTAAAACATTCAACAATTACAAAGCAAACATATATCTATCATACATAAAAGATTTCAGTTATCACGCAATTCAACCGTGTATCTTTCAAATGATTATTGCTTTTGAAATTTTTTTCTTTGAAATATACTCTCATTTCTGTTAGGCATGAAAGTGCCCATTTTAGCACTTTAGTTTAGCTATTTATAATATTACTTTGGTTGAAATTGATCCAAACTCATTATCTGCTATTTCTTAATTATAACCCCATCTGACCTTCACTGTATTCAAATTCTATGAACTAAAATTTTTTTCAGATAAATTACTGTAACTGCATATATACAGTTTCTAACAAAAATAAATAACGGCTATGTGAAATATACATCTACTAACCTGACTTTTTAAAACACAAGATAGCTCTGATTGCTAGATTTATTCTATCTTACACACATGCAATGCTGTCATACTAGCAGTTACAAAATCATTTTAACATGTTAGCATTTGCATTAAAAAAACAAATTGGAGAAACAAGGTCTTTACATATTACCTGTAACATTAAGTAAGGAAGCACCCTTCAAAAATACAAAGTTTGCAATTTATTCAAAGGGAGACTAAAATATATTCTGATACTGATCTATCTTCTCATAGGGTTTCTTTAAATCATTAAGCGGGACGAGACAAAGTTTATTATTTTGAAATAATTTTGTTTCTAAATTAAATTCTATTATATTCAAGATGTTTGCCAAAACCCTTCTAAATTAGCAAAAGCAAATTTAGATAACTGTTCATCTTTTTGTCTGTATTTGTTGCAATAGTGTTTTTGTTGCAAGAAATTGCCGTCTGTTTCCAGCTAAGGATTGTTTATTTCTACCCTAGAGAAATTTCTTCTGCATATGTTTAGAAAATAATTGAGAATTCTTGCTGTTCATTCCCAGGGATTCTTTTAAGTAAACTTCTATTATCCCATAAAGAAGTAAGCAGAAATAGTAAAATTTATAGTAGGGATCACATCAGTGTCTCTGAGAGGAGCAGAAAAACATGCAAATTTTAACCAATTGAATGACTTGTTTGTCTGAAAGATGTGACATTGTTGATATAATTTACATCTTTGGATTATGTGCTTTCAAGCCCCCTTAAAGTTTAATAGCACTGGCATGCCTTCCACATTAGTTCATTTTAAAAAGATGCCTTAACCAAAGTTAGTGGTGTTTTATTAATTACAGAGAAGAAATAAGCATAAATATATGAAACATATAACTTTATCTTTGGCGGGGTGTGAGTCTACTGATATACTCCAACCCCCACCCATGGCTCTAATCTTATTAACAAGGTGTTCCACTAATCAGTCCCTGGGGTGCAAAGCAGATCAGTTACCACCCCCTGGGCATTCCCGACCATACCCCTCAGGATGTATACCTATTGCCCCAGGGCAATCAAGCATCCTGATCTTGTCTAACTGGAAAGGAGCCTTGTACACTACACATTTAACATTCGTCATTTATGCTACAAAAAAAAAATGTTATGGGCCTCCCTGGTGGCGCAAGGAGTTAAGACACAACCTATGAAGCTGTCTGCAGCCACTGCATCATAAGTTCTATCCCCGGCCAGGGAGATACCCACATGGTGCAGCAGACCTCTCCTGACTCACCCGCTGCTCCCCTCAGCATTGTATTTCAGTCAATCCTTGTTCTGTACCCCACTCTGTCTCTGGTGAATCCTCTCACCCCCCCCCACTTCTGGCCTCTACCCCCTGGTTCTTTTATGCATAAATAAATAAATCTTTAAAATATAGTTATTATGAACGGTGTTTTGGTAAGTTTTCTTAATGAACATTAATCTCTTTGTAGGGTAAATGGATCAATTAGGCTTTTTACACCACTACCCTGTGTGGCTATCACCTGTGGTTAATGCAAGCGGCACTTGGGATTGTGGGCACGGGGCACATTTCACTGATTGTGGACACCTGGAGCATGGGTGCGCACGCATGTGTAAGTGTGCATAGCTGAGCCTAGAGGTCAGCGATATAAGGGTGGCGTCACTCAGAGACGGAGGGTGACTACAAGACAGCTACAAGAGGACAAGTGACTACAGAAGAGGTGAGACTGTGAGAAAATGTCAGAGCCCAGAAAAAAAGAGTAAATTTTTTGGGAACTGGGAGGCTTGGTAGCCTGCCTGCCTCCTAGCCCCTCGTTACCAGGCTGTGCCTTCTTCCTTACATGCCAGCCTCCCTGCCTGGTGTGCTTATGTCGCTGGTTCTCTGAGAGAGCATTAAAGCCTGAAAAATCCAGTGAGGGCTCCAGGACTCTCCTTATCCGTCTACTTGAATCCATACTGAACCTGCCCGATGCTTGCTGGAACAACACTCTTGTATAAACTTTGTCATTTAAAATTTCTGTGCTATAGAACATATTCTTTCATACCACTCCGGACATTGAAAATCTACTAATTTTTCAAAGTAAATGTACTGAAATAAGAAAGTCAAATGGAGAATGGGTTTAAAAATTCTATAAACACGCAAATTAGTTTATTCATAATACATAAAAGAAGTTATAATCTATTGTGTTACTTGATTAAATTTTAGATATAAAATAATTTCATTTTTTTCAGAAACCCACTATATTCTATGGAGAAATTACTTCCACAAATTAATGGGATTAAAAATGACAACAAGGTAATACTGCATTCTGTCATTTTCTGTTATTTAGATGGAGTGTTTTGCATTTTGAATATTCAATTTCATATTTAATTTTAAACTTTTCCCTTTATTCAATTCAAGGTAAAGTTAGGTCTTTAGTGATTTGGATTTCAAGAGGAAAATGCTCACTTTAATAGCTCCTCATGACTTTATTTCTCTAGACTTTCCTCCTGTGGCCTCCAATTTAATTGCAATCATGGAGACAAAATACTATTGGCTAGTGAAGAGGGCAGCTGTATCAGATCTGATCACAGGGCTTAGTGACCTTATTAAAGGCACAATCAGTTCCCCACCTGAGGAAAGGAGATCCTCCTGATCATCTTGGTGTAGAGTAGTAGTAATATCCTTTGCCAATTTGACAGTCTTATCAGTGGTATTTTTTTATGGTGGTAATTGCCAATATCATCCTAACCTAACCAACTTGAGAGACAGTCATGTATTTTTTGGTCTCTATCAACAGTTTCAAATCCCCAAACTTGTTTAGGTGTCAGAATCTCAAAAATTTGCTGAACATCATCTTGTTTTGTTATTTAGAACTCTCAGATTAATGGGAATTGCATAATAAGAATAGGACATAGGGCGTCCCTGGTGGTGCAGACTCAGCACTATGAAGCTATCACCACCCACTGTGGCATGAGTTAGAACCCCGGCCAGGGAGCTACCCACATGGCCCCGCAGACTCCTCCTGTCTTCTTTCACACTGCTCTCCTCAGCAGTGCATCAGTAGATTCACCTGTTCTGCTCCCCACTCTGTCTCTGGTAAATCCTCTTATTCCCACACCTCTGGCCTACAATCCAGTTCTTGTGTGCATAAATAAGTAAAAATAAGTCTTAAAAATAGGATATAAATTCATTTTCTTGGGTTTTTGAGAGTTTTATGACTTCAGAGTCAGCAATAATGTGAACTAAATGATATTCTCTTATTTGCAAATACAGGGAAAGTACTCCTAAGTATTCTATAAATGTTCCACATATTGTTATCATGTTTTGTTTCATGTTACACAAATGAGTGAAAGGTAATCATTTATTAAATATTTAATACCACACTGTCATATCCAAATGTTGTAGAATGCTGTATAATTTTATAATCAGCAAAACTATTAATGTTAAATCATTTATATGAAAGTGAATATTTGAAATGACAAAATAAACCATGAGGATCTATAAATTATGAAAATATTACACATACCACCATAGTCATGAAATCTAGGAAAAAAACAAAAAATATAAATTGATTTTCTAAAATGACTGTATTTTACCTATACTTTGGTTATCCACTTTTCTCTTTTCTCTTTAGAAGATAACAAATTTGGAAAATAATATTCTAGAAAGAGCGGAAAGAAAATTCTGTCTTTAGCATCATGGATTAATATTATTTATTAGGAATGATGGCTTAGAGAAATTTCCCTCAGCTTTGAAACTCTATATTGATAATTTTGTATACATTTTCAGGCTTATTAAACATAGGAAAAGATATTTCAGTGTTTTATTATATAAGATGAAGGATCTCAAGTTATCTTAACTATACTTGCAAGTGATGACTCTTAAAATAATTTTTAATCCCTGAAATTTATTCACTATTTTGCCAACAGCATCTTCTTCAAATTGTAAATGTTACATTATATCATGAACTACATTTCAATAAACATGATTAAAGTTCACTCTACCTAAAAGTTAAATAATTTATCAAATTGAAGATGTTTTGGTGTTCTTTTATGTGGTATTCAAACCCGGTAAACTGTATGATGTTACTATTACTTGCCTGTTTCTTCTTTTTCACTTCTAATTTGGCAATGATCTTTACCTTTGTGGTGTAATTGTTTATAGTTCACTGGCTATCATGACTCCATTTACTGTCAATTTTTTTTTTTTTTTGGTTTCTATTTCATATGTAAGAATTTTAACATTTTAAAGTATATGGAATCTTCTTTTGTCCATTTCTGCCCTCCCTTCTTCAGGGCCCTGACAGGACCACCAGTACTGCAGGAAGACTGAGTCTTCTATGCCCCCTGATGCCCTCACTTCAAGGGCAGAATCTTTACCTCAGCTATTGCTGAGGTAAGGTTTTAATTACCCTGGCTCCCAGTTGGTTACAGAGCAAAAATTTCCACAATGAGAACAAAATCCAAAATCACCAGGGATTATCATAGTCGATGTATCACTCTGGAAAAAAAAAGGACTCTGTCTTCATTTCCAAGGAGGTGTTTTAGGTTTTATGCAAGAGAACAAACAAACTTTAAAGACAAAGAGTATTGCAAATTGATCTGAAGTAATTGAATTTGTTTGGAATACAGTTTCGTGAACTCCATGCCTAAATAAATTGTTACAAAATGGGAATCTTGGGGGGTGTGGTTGGTGAGCAATTAAGAGAAAGTTGGTAACTCCTTGATGCAATAAAAATTCAGTAGAGGGACTCAGGGAAAATGATCCTCTAGAAAAGCTCTTTGTGGTCACAGTCAATTCTGGGAGTTAGAAAGTTTGTGCTTGTGTATGTGCTGTGCTGCACCCACATGGATATAACTAATATGGGGACAATAGGAAAGAATTCCCCAACCTACACCAGACTAACACAAGGCAGAAATCTTAACAACATAAGGGGATTAAACAGAACTTCTGACCAAACACTGACAAAATCACTATATTGATCCAGTAGCAGCTCCTGCAAAACCAGGCTTAAAAATAAAATCATACTCATTCCTATCAATCTGAAAGATTGTATGCATGCCCACAGCTGCACTGCTCATGGACAATTGAGGAGGGAACTTTTAGGCCACAAGTCCCAGCCTGAATGTGGACAAAAATTAAATTCACTGAATTGTGAGAGCAACTTCCAAACAACACATATATCCAAATATATACTAAAAAATGAGAGAATAAGCAATACATCACATGCAAGGGAAGCCCAATAAGTCATATAACATCTTAACAGCTAAATTCTCTTCAGTACATTTAAGATCCAAACACAATTAGTATATTTAAAGTTAGAGGGAAATAAAACCTGTCACACAGGAATATACACTGAAACCATTCCGGAAATGAAGGCAAAATGACAGTATGACCAGATAAACAGTAACTGAAAGGCTTTGCTACTAGAAAAATATACTTAGAAGAAATATAAAAAAATTTCTTTATACTAAAGCCAAGTGACATTGGACAATAATTCTGTTTATTTCTATTTTTTTTTGAGGCGACATTGGTTTTCTGTAGGTTAAGCTACTACACTTCATTGCAGTTCTAGTGTGACAGTTCTGTATTAGAATTGAAGATTGCAGGGTATTAACATAGGTGAAGGTATTGGATGCTGTGCTTTCTATTGTATTGTATGAAACCTCATCACCAGTCAGAATGCCTAGAGCATGAAAGTCAGCATGAGGTAGCAGTTCAAAAACCCAGCCTACATGGTAAGGGCTGGAGATGTGGGTTATGTTGTGGTTGCTACAGTTAATTGTCAAGTGCATAAGCCTCCTTTGGTGCAGTATCTTGCTGAGCAGAGGAAGGGATTTGCCATTACCATTTTCTAAAGTCAGGTCAAAGCCTACTTCACCAGTGGTAGTCTACAAGAAGCTCCGAATTGCTACTGACACTTCAGCTGCACTCTAGTTCTGATCTCAGTCAGCAGTCTTGATGGAAGTGCCTTTTAGTGAGGTCTGGTACAAGCTGAGTGGGACAGGTTGTGGGCTTGAGGCACAGGCAGGCAGCACAGGAAGTGGTAGATTTCTGTAGTAGTTAGGCTGTCAGATGTCTGCTGAGCTAAACAAGGGAGACATTGGTGCTTCTTGGGACAACCAAAATACTCCACAGTCCCCAAGTGTGTTAGCTCCCTAACTCCCCAGTAATCAGTGCTCTTTGTGATAGGAGGTTCTCACTCCTGTGCAGTGATCTCATGTAGAAAGAAGCCCAGGGATTCAGAGGTGAGAGAGAGTGTCTACTCCCAGTGCCCCAATATCATTTCTGTCATTACCATTCCTAAGGTTTCCTACCCTTTCCAGTGGCCTCTAACCACCTCATGTAGCCCTGAATCACCAAGTGCTCAGTTCTCTTCAAAGGGTAGTTCTTCCCTCGATGAGGTTGGTCCACGATGTCTATGCAGGAAAAGATGTCTGATTCTGATCTAACATCTTAGGTTATCAAACATGCTGCATTTAGATTTTGTTAAATTTAAGTCATGTAAATGTTCT